GTTGTGGCTTGTGTTGTTGTTGTGGCTCGTGTTGTTGTGGCTCGTGTTGTGTGGTGTTGTTGTGGCTCGTGTTGTTGTGGCTGTGTGCTCGTGTTGCTGCTCGTGTTGCTCGTGTTGCTCGTGTTGTTGTGGCTCGTGTTGCTGTGGCTCGTGTTGTGGCTCTGTGTTGCCTGTGTAGCTCGTGTTGTTGTGGCTCGTGTTGTTGTGGCTCGTGTTGTTGTGGCTCGTGTTGCTCGTGTTGTTGTGGCTCGTGTTGTTGTGGCTCGTGTTGTTGTGGCTCGTGTTGTTGTGCTCGTGTTGTTGTGGCTGTGTTGGTGTTGCTGTTGGGCTCGTGTTGTTGTGGCTCGTGTTGTTGTGGCTCGTGTTGTTGTGGCTCTGTGTTGTTGTGGCTCGTGTTGTTGCTGTGGCTCGTGTTGTTTGTGGCTCGTGTTGTTGTGGCTCGTGTTGCTTGGCTCGTGTTGTTGTGGCTCGTGTTGTTGTGGCTCGTGTTGCTGTGGCTCGTGTTGTTGTGGCTCGTGTGTGTGGCTCGTGTTGTGTGGTCTCGTGTTGTTGTGGCTCGTGTTGTTGTGCTCGTGTTGTTGTGGCTCGTGTTGTGGCTCGTGTTGTTGTGGCTCGTGTTGTTGTGAGCTGTTGTGGCTCGTGTTGTTGTGGCTCGTGTTGCTGTGGTTCGTGTTGCTGTGGCTCGTGTTGTTGTGGCTCGTGTTGGTGGGTGTTGTGGCTCGTGTTGCTGTGGCTCGTGTTGCTGTGGCTCGTGTTGTTGTGGCTCGTGTTGTTGTGGCTCGTGTTGTTGTGGCTCGTGTTGCTGTGGCTCGTGTTGTTGTGGCTCGTGTTGTTGTGGCTCGTGTTGCTGTGGCTCGTGTTGGTTGTGGCTCGTGTTGTTGTGGCTCGTGTTGCTGTGGCTCGTGGGTTGTTGTGGCTGTGTTGTTGTGGCCGTGTTGTTCTCGTGTTGTTGTGGCTCGTGTTGTTGTGGCTCGTGTTGTTGTGGCTCGTGTTGTTGTGGCTCGTGTTGTTGTGGCCTGTGGCTCGTGTTGTTGTGGCTCGTGTTGTTGTGGCTCGTGTTGTTGTGGCTCGTGTTGCTGTGGCTCGTGTTGTGTGGCTCGTGTTGTTGTGGCTCGTGTTGTGGGCTCGTTTGTTGTGGCTCGTGTTGTGTGGCTCGTGTTGTTGTGGCTCGCGTGTTGCTCTGCTTTGTTGTGCTGGCTCTGGCTCGTGTTATTGTTGTGGCTCGTGTTGTTGTGTGCTCGTGTTGTTGTGGCTCGTGTTGCTGTGGCTGTGTTGCTCGTGTTGTTGTGGCTCTGTGTTGCTGTGGCTCGTGTTGTTGTGGCTCGTGTTATTTGTGGCTCGTGTTGTTGTGGCTCGTGTTGTTGTGGCTCGTGTTGTTGTGGCTCGTGCTGTGTTGTTGTGGCTCGTGCTGTTCGTGTCGTGTTGTTGTGGCTCGTGTTGTTGTGGCTCGTGTTGCTTGTGGCTGTGCTCGTGCTGTGGCTGTGTTGTGTTGTAATACTCGTGTTGTTGCTCGTGTTGTCGTGTTGGGTTAACTGTTGTAATACATGGTACAATAATGATGTTTTTTATAGTTTTTTAATATATATATATATATATTTTTTTTACTATCCGTCAACCTTTATATCTGTAGTCCGTGGCGCTGCTGATGTGAGTGACAGTGATGTGACGTGAGGAAAGGTGTATCAGTTTAGGGCATATCACTGAGGCCTCTCTCTCTCACTCTCAGATTCAGCTTCTTAATAATAATAATAATAATAATAATAATAATAATAATAATAATAAACGGTTTATTAATAGAGTTGCAGCCGGTGGCTGAAAATATACAGACTTACATTTGATTTAGACATAATGATATAATATGCATTGAATACATTTACAGGGCTATACAGTACATAAATCAGGAGTTGTTTATTATTTTAACAATAGATGGGATGGTGCTGTTCTTATATCTATCGGTGCGGGCTCTTATGGGCTGAATTTTGTTGTAGTGGCGGACTGCTCGAGTTGGGTGGGGGGCTGCAGGTGGCGGCGATGACGAGGGTGGTGCAGTAGTCCACTGCCAAACCTTTCCAGTGCTTGGTGGTGGAGGTCACTGTGTGTGTGTGTGTGTGTGGACGAAGGGGTAACGAAAACCAGGGTGGATGTGGCAGGACGGAATGGGACGAAAGACCAAGTAGGGTGTGACGGGCGGGGTGGGTGGGGGGTGGAAGCGAGGGTCACAGGTCAAGGTGCAGAAGGTGGGTGGGGATTTGGTGAAGAGGAATGAGATGTTGTGTCATGCTTGCAGTTCCCCCAAGCAGTGAGAATGAGAGGTTGTGAGGGTAGGTAGACCATGAGGGGTTATGAGGAGAGAGAGAGAGAGAGAGAGAGAGAGAGAGAGAGAGAGAGAGAGAGAGTAAGCAGTAGCGGGATCACAAAGGGTCGTCAGTCACGTATTTCTTTCATTGACTTAGCATAAATTCCTTCCCTAGAGCCTTAGTCCTTCCACACCTGACGAAGTACAGGTGTTGGTGGCCGCTTTCATCACCAATTCACTATTTTTTCTCATGTCTTAGTCAACTTTTGGGTCAGTTAGTCAGTCAGTCAGTCAGTTAGGTAGGGAGGGAGGCAGTCAGTTAAGTAGGGAGGGAGGCAGTCAGTCAGTCAGTTAGGAAGTCAGGCAGGCTGGTGGGGTAGGTAGGCAGGTAGGATTGGTATTCATAGAGCTGTCTGACGCCGCTGAGGTGTTGCAGTAATGGAGACTGACAGTGTAACATCATCATCACACGAGATGCTCCGTCTGACAGCTGGCTTACGGCTGTCTCCTCCTCCTCCTCTCCCTCCCCTCCTCCTCCTCTTCCTCACTTCTCTTCATTTAACACCATCTTCATCCTCACCTCACCTCCTATTCTTCCTTCTTCTATCCTTCCTTTCATCGTCATCCTTGTCTCTCTTCCTCCTCTCTCTTCCTCCCCCCCGCTGGTTGTGGTGGGACCGCCACTCCAAGTCACTGCTGAGTCCAGGGTTCGTGGCTCCTAACTTCAGTATTTACGAGACTGTTTATGGGGTTTTGGTCCTCCCCTTCCCTTAGTGGTGCCCCTTAACCCTTACCCCTTAGATGGTGGTCCCCTTAACTTCATAGATGGTGGTCGTGCTCCTCTAAGTGGTGCCCCTCTTAACCGCTTAGATGATGGGCCTCTCCCTTCCCTTCGTGGTGCTACCCCTTAACCCCTTAGATGGTGGTTCCCTTACTCTTCCCTTAGTGGACCCCCTTAACCTTTGCCCTTTAGTGGTCCTCCTTAACCCCTTAAATGGTGGTTCCTTCCCCTTACGCCTTAGTTGACGCAATACTCTCTCTCTCTCTCTCTCTCTCTCTCTCTCTCTCTCTCTCTCTCTCTCTCTCTCTCTCCTTATACAAATTATATAAAGAAATATACAAAAGTCACCTCTATATATCCAGCCCCTCTTCTCTTTCCCTCACTTTGACGAAATATATTGGAGGTATTTGATGTATATTTAGGGTCAAGTGGTGAAATATATGACCTCCGTGTACCGTCATAAATTATAATATATTGTTGATGTTTTGTGATATAAATCTTGGGTCATAAATAGTGTGGTCGATCAGTGGTGGTCTCTCTCTCTCTCTCTCTCTCTCTCTCTCTCTCTCATCTTCACTTTTCTTCCCACTTCCTCATTCTCATCATCTCTCCATCTTCTTTTCTCTTCATTCTCAATTCTCCCCCCCACACTCACAAGGAAGGTGGGGTGAAAGGTCATGTGAGGGCGGCAGAGGACCCACTAAAATCTGGACTATTTCTTAGGTTGTTTTTGTTATTTGATCAAGGAATAAGGTCACTGGGGAGGGAGGGAGGTGGGTGAAACAGGGGGTAAGAGGAGGAGCGAAGAGTGGAGATGGAGAAGGTGATGAGTAAATTGGAGGAAGAAGAAGGAGGAAGAAGGAGAAGGAGGAGGAAAACAGAAGAAAAAAGAAGAAAGAAAGAAGGAGGAAGAGGAGTGACCGTGGACGTTATCTCAGGGTTGGTGGGCGTGGTCTTATGTCCCTTAACGAGATTTGACATGGTTATGCCACGCCTATTTTGACGTCCTGCACCACGCCCCTTCAAAGACCATTATAAAAGTTACTGTGTATGAAAGACAGAAAAGAAAGAGGGCGTAAGTAGAGAGACGTGGGTGCCTACTGAGAATCAACTAACCTCAGGTAAAAATGCAAGGTTTGGTCAGAATCTAAGGTCAAGGTTAGAGGTCAAGCTTAGAGGCAGTGTTAATGGTGCAAGTTGTGGGTAATTGGGTGTAAATGGTGAGGGTGTGTGTGTGAGAGAAAGGGGTAAGTTGTGGCGTGATGAGGGTGTGTATGTGTGTAGTGTGGCGTAGTGTGTGTGTGTAGTGTGGCGTAGTGTGTGTGTGTAGCGTGGGGTAGTGTGTGTCTGTGTGTGTGTGAGAGAGAGAGAGAGAGAGAGAGAGAGAGGTTTAGTAAGGGTTGTGTCCTCTGCTGCACATAGTGTTTTTAAGCCCGGCTATACTTGAGCAGTTCCTGTGTACTATAATTTATGGACAGCACAGGTTGAATACTCTTTAATACCTGGCGTTTACCTGGTGGCTGTTCCGGTCTCTCTCTCTCTCTCTCTCTCTCTCTCTCTCTCTCTCTCTCTCACCAACCGGGTCAAGCAGACAGTATCTCTTACATGTATACCGTGAGTGTTGCAATGATGAAATATTGTGTTTATATTGGTGTGTGTTGAGTCTAAGCCAATCAAACCATCCTGACTTTACTGATGGTTGTATAGCGCGCGTGAGGGATGTTCATTCAGGTCCGTGTTTACCTTTTGATATTGGGAGTAACCCGGGAAGGAACTGCAGTTGTTTGTTAAGACAATTGAAGCGTTGATGCAACCTAACCTAACCTAACCTAGACTCAGTGAAGCAACTTAGCGTGTTACATGTGGACCCTGGTGTAAATATTATCCTGTTGTGTGTGTTTGTAATGAGTAAATATCCCACAGGTGTGCATCATGCCTCTAGTGACGTCATGATGTAGTTTACCTGTGTGTTTACTACCTGACTGAAAAACGTGATAGAAAATAAACAGGAATATCATTTACTTGAAGGAAATACTTTACGCTAATGTGTAATTAATATACATATAATATAGTACTTGAGGAAGGTGTTAACAGCTGGTCTGTGTTGAAGTGTTTGATGAACTGGTGGGTGGTGTGGTGACGAGTGGGCGCCCTCACTCCGTGTACCTCTGAACATCTGAACATTTCGTCATCATTAGTGAACGAGATTTATTATTATTGAACAAAAACTCGTCCATCATCATCATCATCAGTGAACAAGTTGTAGTGAAACATATTGATTGGTGGAGGGAAGATGGGGCGTGTGTGTTGGCACCGATGTCTGCTGTGTGGTGCCTACGAGTGCCGGGACCCCTTCTCCGCCCTTAGTGGAGAAAGACAGTAGTTGGAGATAGTGCCAGTCTCCAAAGTGCCAGGTGACAGTGACAATGGTGCCTGGACATTCCCCCTAGTGCCAGGTAACAATGAGAGGGGAGTGTTGTTGTTGTGTCAGCTGGTGCCTCGGGCCGTGTCAACAATAACAATGAGGTTTCGTCGCAAGAACAAGAAGGTGAGTACGAGAGAGAGAGAGAGAGAGAGAGAGAGAGAGAGAGAGAGAGAGAGAGACGCCATCTCACTCTACAATGATGAGTAATATAAATTAAATATCATTGTTTTTTATTATAATATTAATATTCATGTTTAATCAGACTATATAATGAAGGAAATGTATCACTGTTGTTATTTAAAGCTGGTTGTTGGGACAGCTTAGTGTTGTTAGTCCACAGCTTGTTTTTATTTTATTTATTTAGTTGTTTGTCTGTTTGTTTATTTATTTATTTTTGTCTAAGTTAATAAAAACAGTTACCTGTTTATATTAATTATTGTATAGCTTAATTATATTTTTATTCATATCCGGTAAATAGATGCATTATATATAGTGTCTTTATAGGCCTCCTGGGATAATAATGCCTTCTACTCACCCGTCAATCTCATTACTTTCTGTACTGTAGCTCCAGGGTACAGTACTATACCTCACCATATTACAGAGCTGTAACATTTAAGCCTCGACAACAGATATGAAACGTGATAATACATAAAAGTCTTTGTATTTTAGACTCGGCCAGAACCTTACCTGTAGTTAAAGTTACAGGTGCTTGTGTGTAACTTTTGTACTTGTGAGCTTGTGGTAACTGAGTGCTTGTTAGGGGGATGGAGTGCACTTAACTATCTGGTTGAGTAGTGGTGTGTGAGTGTGTGTGTGTGTGTGTGTGTGTGAGAGAGAGAGAGAGAGAGAGAGACGCACACACATATACTATTTTTTTTAATTCGTCGACGACTTTTAATCTAGTTTGTGTATGTGTCAATGACCTTGTTAGCTAGAAGGTGAAGGAGGGGTTGACGAGCTCTGATTGGCTGGCCTGGATGATGGCGGGTTAATACTGAGTTCAGGTTATCTGCCTCCTCAAGGTCTAGGTGAGAGGTCACAGGTGGAGGAGACTGTTACTCTCTCTCTCTCTCTCTCTCTCTCTCTCTGCTTCTCTCACTGCCCCTCCCTCCCTCCCAGTTATTTTAAGCAATGGTTTAAGTTTAACTCCAGTTAATTGTGTGGGCATTAAGTGTTTATATACTTAATACATTACAGTCACTTTTAGAAACTCCTGCTAGTGGCACACACACACACACACACACACACACACACACTCCACGTTATAACTTCCTCTGAGGTGACAAAAATTAACTACTTATTCCCAAAGTCTCGCAAAGTGATGCTACAGTCTTAGTGCATGTTGGCGGCCATCTTCATTTTTTGTCGTGGGGGTAAATGAGGTAGTTTAAATGTGTCCTAACAGCCTGAGCTAGACGGTAAACTTGTCTTATGAGATTTCAGAAGTTTGGTTAGGTTAGGTTAGGACAGGTTAGGTCTCTCTCTCTCTCTCTCTCTCTCTCTCTCTCTCTTCATATAATAACATAGTGAGTTAATTCACTTTACGCCATTAGATAGTAAAGTAAGAGTTATAGTCTGGCGTTCGTTCGTCTGGCGTAGTACCCATAACGATATTAATGCCATAAATGGAGGGGAACGCCAGGCGCTGTTAGTTGCTCGTGTTGGCGCTGTTTATATGGTACAAATTGAATTATGCTACGGTGTGCGGCTAGTTTATTGTGCACACCATGTTCAGAGTATTGTAGCACTGTATTTTAGAGATGATTCTGTACCTAGTGACTTAACTTACTGGGTACATAATGTGGATATAGCCTTACTTGGTTACATAATGTGGATACAGCCTTACTTGGTTACATAATGTGGATACAGCCTTACTTGGTTACATAGTGTGGATACAGCCTTACTTGGTTACAAAATGTGGATACAGTCACAAGATAATAGTTGGCTTACCACGAAAACTTAGAATAGTCAGGGCTAGCATTGTTCTGGGTGGGGGAGGAGGGAGTGGGGGAGGTGGAGGGAAGTGGTGAGTGGGGGAGGAGGTAGGGAGTGAGGTGAAGGTGAGGGGGAGGCGGGGGAGGTAGGGTGGGAGAAAGAGAGTGAGTGGTGGGGGAATGAGGAGGCGTCAAGGAGTGAAAAGGAGAATGGAGTGTGGGTGAGGAGGAGGGGAGGTAAGGGGGAGGAGGAGAGTGGGTGGGGCGCGGGGGAGGGAGGGTCACACACCGCCCAGCTCCCAGTATGGTGAGGGAGTGTGGGTGTTGTCGTCTCTGCTTTAGGCCAGGGACAACACACGGCCACTATGCTTCCTGCTGGGCGTCGTTGTCGTAGTTGTCGTTCCCGTTGTCGTAGTTGTCGTTCCCGTTGTCGTCGTTGTCGTAGTTGTCGAAGTTGTCGTCGTCGTTGTCGTAGTTGTCGTTCCCGTTGTCGTAGTTGTCGTTCCCGTTGTCGTCGTTGTCGTAGTTGTCGAAGTTGTCGTTCCCGTTGTCGTAGTTGTCGTTCCCGTTGTCGTAGTTGTCGTCCCCGTTGTCGTAGTTCTCGTCGTAGTTCCGTAGTTCGCTTTTGTCTTTTATGTTGATATTAAGGCGTTATATTAGGGGTTCAGAGAGATGTATGTATGTATATATGTATGTGTGTGTGTGTTTATATGTATGTATGAATGTATGTATGTATGTGTGTGTGCGTGTATGTGTTTATATGTAAGTATGTATGTATGTGTGTGTTTATATGTATGTATGTATGTATGTGTGTGTTTATATGTATGTATGTGTGTATGTATGTGTGTTTATATGTATGTATGTATGTATGTAAAGGAGAAGTTTCATGGTAAATATACTACACCCAATACTGTGCGCCAGACCAACTTTATCTCCGAGAATATAAACACAATAATTCAGGGAAGATAGAGATGTTTTTGTTTTGTTTTTTAGATTTTATGTATATCTGACCATCCTCAGTTTTGGGTCAGGTCAAGGGTCAATTGGTGTAATGACCCTGATTTTTTAGGTCTACATCAACGAGAGGTGTTGGGCGAGACAAGAAAAAACTCAGCAAACTTACCCTGGTTATACTCTCCCAGCGGCTGTTAATTTATAAAGTTTGTGCCGAGTTTGATAGATCTGATGCTGGGGAAGGGGTGTTGTTGAGGGAGGGTGTTGAGGAGGGTGTTGAGGGAGGGGGTGTTGAGGGAAGGGTGTGTTGAGGAGGGGGGTGTTGAGGGGGTGTTGAGAGGGGGTGTTGATGGGAAGAAGGAGAGGGGTGTTGATGGGGGAGGAGAAGGGTGTTGAGAAGCATGGAAGGAAGGGGGGAGAAAGAGTAGGGACACACACACATACACACATACATACATACATACATACATACATACATACACATACATAGACTCCCTGGTCATGGTGGAGACGGCGGCTGAGACACGTACTAATGGCTGATAATCTGGTAACAAATTAGGTGAAGAGGAGAGAGGGGGAGGAGGGAGGGAGGGAGGGGGAAGGGGAGGGAGGTATGGGGAGGGGGGAGTAGAGGGAAGGAAGAAGAGGAGACAACCAACCAACCACACAGACAGACAGACAGAGACAGACAGACAGACAGACAGACAGACAGACAGACAGAGAGACAGACATAAAAGGCTAGTGGGTCACGTGCAGTTAAATTGGGTGATAATGTCCAAGGAATTATGTGGATCTCTATAACCCACATTACTGTTTATTATTACTGGAGGAGGAGGAGAAAGGAGAGGAGGGAGAAAAGGAGGAAGAGTAGGAGGATGGAGGTGAAGAATGTTTACGTCGGGAGAGATGTAAATTCTGTCTGTTGATGCGTAGTATTACCTCTCCCCCCCATCCCCTCTCCCCTCCTCTCCTCCCTCCCCTTCTCCTCCCCTCCTCCCCTCTCCTCCACCTCCCCTTCTCCTCCCCTCTCCTCTCATTACTCCCTCAAGAAATACCGTAGAGTCACTTCCTCTTCATTAACCTCTACGTCGTTCTTGGTGTTGCCTCAGAACACGTCATAGTCTTCACTCTCTACTGATACAATCTATTATTATCCATTATTCTCTAACTTATCTCGTGGTGTGTGTGTGTGTGTGTGTGTGTGTGTGTGTGTGTGTGTGTGTGTGTGTGTGTGTGTGTGTGTGTGTGTGTGTATAAACGCGTTACCTTATATACCACAACACACTATAGTTTCTTTTCTCCGCAATGCACTATACAAGTCACCATAAGTCAATGTAAGTCACCATAAGTCACTAAGTCACCATATATCACCCTGAAGGACGTCGGCCGCCCCCTTCCTCAGAACAATAACATAATGGTCATGGTAGATTAAGCCAACACGAGCAAATGGTGATCGGTAGAGGCAGTTCACCCGTCTGTATAAACAAGGTTCTTATCGAGGTATAATGACCCTTAGGTACACTGAGAATAAGGGTGGTTTTATCGAGGGTCCTGGTGTGGCTTGGCATTTACGGGGTATTTTCCAGGCATTAGAATTATCGCTTGACGTTAAATATCCCCCTTCTTCATATATGATCTGACGTTAAATATCCCCTTCCTTCCCCATATATATGATCTGGGGAGGGGTTGAGAGTGTTTTGGGGGTCAGTTAGCATCACCAGCATAACCTTATCTTAACTATCAACAACCTAACCTAACCTAACTAAATTAAAAACAATGATAACAAAATAAACTAAATAAAAATAAATTAACTCTCACAACTATGATAAAATTAAAACCATATGAACTTATAATTTTAAAAAAATAAGAAAAAATAAATAAATTGTGAGGATTAATAATTCGACTAAGATAATGAGATTAGTTAATTAGTGTTATTATAATTATCCTAATGGTCAGTGTCGTCCTCCTTGTGATGGTCACCAGTAATGACCTTAATTACCTGTTAATTAAGAAAAAGGTGAGAGAGGGAGACAGAGAGAGATAAAAAGAACGAGAGAGAGACAGAGAGAGATAAAGAGAACGAGAGAGAGAGATCGGACAATAGCTTTATAACCCTCGCTCACAACCACCAATACCCTCACAAGCTGCTTACTGGGGGACACACTGATGAAGTAATACAATAATGTGTTTTATACATCACAACAGCCTGTGGTTGTGCACAATACACAAGACTAA